CCCCGCCCCTTCACTCTCGGCCCCGCTGATTGGCCCGGTAGGGTCTCGGCCCCGCGGAAAGTTTTTGGTGCCGGGAGGAGGCCGAAGCCTCGGACACGCTCCGAGAAAGCCGCCGCGGAGGCTGCGGGGGTCTGGGCGGCCATGGAGGAGCCCCCTTGGCGAGAGGAGGAGGAAGAAGGGGACGGGGAGAGGGACGAGGCTGAGCCCGAGGGGGCGCTGGGCAAGAGCCCCTTGCAGCTGACCGCCGAGGACGTCTACGACATCTCCTACGTGATGGGCCGCGAGCTGATGGCCCTGGGCAGCGACCCCCGGGTGACCCAGCTGCAGTTCAAAATCGTCCGCGTCCTGGAGATGCTGGAGGCGCTCGTGAATGAGGGCAACTTGACGGTGGAGGAGCTGAAGCTGGAGAGGGACAACCTCAGGAAGGAGGTGGAGGGGCTGCGGAGGGCGGGTCCGCCGGCCAGCGGGGAGGTGAGTGTCCAGGGGACAGAGGGGCTCGGCCCGGAGCGGCCTGCGACGCATAGGGGCGCCCACTTGCAAAGAGCCCTGTGCCGTTCTTTCTTAACTTTTTTTTGGGGGGGGTGGAGGAGTCTTGCTGTGTTGCCCCGCTAGTCTTGAACTCATGATCTCACGTGATCCTCCCCTCCCTCAACCTCCCAAGTAGCATCTGGCCTGCAGTTCTTTAATTTTTTCTTTCTTTCCTTCTTCCTCTTGCTCTTCATCTTCTTTGGTTGTTGTTGTTTTGCTTTTGGGTTTTTAGGGACAAGGTCTCAGATTGGAGTGCAGTGGCCCAATCAAAGCTCACCACAACCTCCGACTTCTGGGCTCAAACCATCCTCCTGCCTCAGCCTCTCAAATAGCTGGGACTCCAGGTGCACACCACCTAACCTGGCTAATTTAAAAAAAAATTTTTTTTTTTTTTTTAGTGGGGCATTGTGGCTCACTATTGTAAGTCCAGTACTTTGGTAGGTCAAGGCGAGAGGATTGCTTGAGGCCAGGAGTTTGAGACCAGTCTAGGCAAACATAGCCAGACCTCTTCTCTACAAAAAAAAAAAAAAATGAGCTGACCGTGGTGGCATACTTGTGTAGTCCGTCTGTTCAGGAAGTTGAGGCAGGAAAATCTCCTGAGCCCAGGAGTTTGAGGCTGTGATGAGTTTGTGCCACTGCACTCCAGCCTGGGCAACACAGTGATACCCTGACTCAAAAAAAAATTTTTTTTTAATTATTATTTATTTATTTTTCTTTTGTGTGGTACAGTTAAGGGATAGGTATACAGATATGCTCCGTTCAGGCTCCCTTGTTGATAAGAGGTGTCTCCCCGAAAAAAATTTTTTTTATGATACAGACAAGAATCTTGCTCTGTTGCCCAGGCTGGTCTCAAACTCATTGCCTCAAGCAATCCTCTCCACCCCCAGTTTCCCTTTCCCCAGTCGTTGAGATTACAGGCATGAGCCTGACCTGAAATTTCTTTTTTTTTGAGTTGGAGTCTCACTCTTGCCCAGATTGTAGTGCAGTGGCATGCTCATGGCCACCGCAGCCTCAACCTGCTGGGCTCAGGTGACCATTCTGCCTCAGCCTTCTGAGTATGTGGAACCACAGGTGCACACCACCATGCCCAGCTAATTTTTTTTTATTTATTTATTGTAGAGATGAGATCTGGCCATGTTGCACAGGCTGGTCTCCAACTTCTGGACTCAGGCAGTCCTCTCACCTCTGCCTCCCAAAGTGCTGGGATTACAGGCTTGAACCATTGTGCCTGGCCTGAA